GGGGGGGGGGGGGGGGGGCTAGGACGAGATAAAAATACGTCACAAAAACACATGAAAAAAAAAAAATTATAAAAATTAATTCATTTTTGACTAATTTTATTTCCAACTGATATCACTCCCCCCACCACCTCGTACATTTATAGAAATGACAAATTTACCGGAAAAATACTTTTTTCAGTCTAATTTCTTTTTTTTACTTCAGACTGTACTTAACCGGCAATGAATGTAAATTTCGGTGAGTCCGTTCGCTTGGCAAATCACGTGGCTGTCATTGGAGGAAACGTAGGTGGTCGTTATCATTATTATCAGTTCACTAGTGTCAAGCTGTATAGCGTGCGTGTATAAGAATTTGACAAGAATAAAGTCTTATCTGATTGTATTGAATAAATATATATTTTTTTTTAATCGATCGAAAATATTGATATGGAATTTAATTTTTTACAAAAATTTTTAATCGTCATATCTAACCTATATAAGGTATAGAACCAATGACAGTGTATAATATATATATATATATATATATATATATATATATATATATATATATATATATATATATATATATATATATATATATATATATATATATATATATATATATATATATATATATATATATAGTCAGTACGCGATCACACGCAATCAGGAAGTACAACGAGAGAATGAATTTCCGGTAGGCAAAGATGAACGTAGGAAAATAAGATAGACTCTTCTCGTGATGAAGTCGAGGACTCTGTGTACCTATATCGGTAGCCAGTTAACGTCGAGCCGGAGAAAGGGAAAGTCAACGAGGTGAAAGTCTCGCACTGAAAATAATATTATGTCTCTCGGCATATACCAGCCTGTCTAAGCCAATGGACGTAACGTTACAAGAGAGAAAAGAAACAGAAAGATAATACGTACGAAAGTACCTCAAGGATATCGAAGATATATATACATATATAGACAACCTACCCCACGAAAAAAAAATTAGTCGAAATTCATTTTCATTACGAAAATCGTCATCGGCCAAAATTTCGTATCTCAAAATTATGGGAATCCCGTATAATAATTATGACGTCATAATCGTCATCCAATGACGTACCGATATTGACATACCGACGTCAACAATTATCCCAGCAAGTTCTCTTAGCTGCCTGATATATGTCTATGTCCAAATTTTTCAATAACGTATTCGTTTATTAGTGCCATATAAAATTTTACAGGCGTCGCGACGCTTTTTTACGTACTTACGTACGTCGTACGTCGGTTATGGAAAATTTACCCCGGAATCAAGGAAGAGAGCATCGCTACAATGGTTCCCACGTTTATTTACAGGAAGAACGAGAATCCCGTGTACTACCTGAGACCATGTATATATATATATATATATATATACATACATAAATGCGAGTAAGAGTATTTACAAGGATAATGTCCCATTAAAGGTAAACGTAAGTTCGCTTACGCAACGTGCGTTTATTAATTTGAAATTAACGTGAAATGTGAAAGTGCCTGATCAAGTGGAGAGTCGAGATCAACGAGAAAGCCAGTGAATGTGTATTCACATATGTACTGCCTATACTCATATATATATATATATATATATATATATTTCATATGTATCTGGAGAGACAGCGGATGTCAAGATTGGAATTTGCATAGAAACGAAGTTATTTTTATTTTTTATTTTCTTTATGGTTTACGTGTATATTTTTTTTATACATAGGAAAAATCGCACGGTAAAGCTTCGTTTGCACCGATAGGTACGAAATTGGAAATTTGTAATAAAAATTGCGTGTTATTTATTTAAAAAGAAATAATGATAATATAGGACGCATAAATAGAGGGAATTCTTCGAAGAGTCTAATTACAGTCTGACGATACGTGCACGTAGGTGGACTATGGAACAGGGCGTTTGTTGCACACTTGAAAAATAATCTGTTTTGCCTTATATATATCTACTTAGCGAATATGATAATAAAACGGCATTATAATACCTGCGTATCTTTATCACAGATGTTTAATTAAATATTGAGATAATGAGGCAACGCTTTACTTATCTACTCTTATCTAATCGTACACTCATTCCGTATCGGATACCAGTCGAATAATAAAGGCATGAAAAATTTCGACTACGGTTTTATTTACCTGTATATATATACAGGGTGTTCGTTATGAAACGCACTGTAGTAACACCGTTGCATTCCTTGTCAAATTCTAATGAATACGTGTATTTTCATTTTTTATTTCATATATCAAAATTTCGAGATAATCAAGGTTGAAGTTGCTGTAATGCGACCAATCAGAACGCGTTTAAACGGAGCGTAGATGACGTCGCGAGCCAGCCCGCGAGGCCTGCTTACACTAGGGCAATAACACTAAGAGTATCGTCGTAGTGTCCCTGTTTATCTGCATGTAATTGAGTGAGATACAATCGCTCGCTGTAACGTCAGTGAATTTCAGAAGGTACCCTTTATTTCTTATAATGTCTATTGCTTTAATCTGACAAGATAGTTGTACCAACGTATAACATTTCGAGTGGTACTGAAAAGGACCGATTTTAATATACGCATGACCCAGCTTGAATATCGACATGCTAATCTGCAACAATTACGTACATTTTCTATGATAACAGTAGTAAGTCTAGTGCGCTTAAATAATTTGTTCACAACTTACAACCTATTTCGCTTCACATTTCGGAGACAGTCAGTTCGATTTATGTTGTTTTGACTGCAGGATCGCATTATGAGTAATTATTGTGTGGGATAATATTGCGACATGTATTGCGTGTTAGCCCAATGTAATGGCAGCCAAACACAAGCGGCGCAAGAATATGTGATTAGGTATCCTAATAGGCGACATCCTGATAAAAATGTTACGTACTCTACAATATTTAGTGTTTCAGAATATTCATTATCATAGAGAATGTATCGAATTGTTGCAGATTAGCATTTCGAGATACAAGCCCGGTAATGCGTATATCAAAATCGGTCCTTTTCAGGACAACTGAAAATGTAATACGTTGGTAGAACTATCTTGTTTAATCAGAAAATCTTGTTTATCTTGAACTATCTAAATTAAAGGAATAGACATTATAAGGAATACAGGGTACTTTCCGTTAATTCAGTAACGTTACAGCGACCGATTGTGTCTCACTCAATTAATGCAGATAAGCAGGGACCTATTGTGTTATTGGTCTAGTGTAAGCAGACCTTACGGGCTGACTGACGACGTCATCTACGCTCCGTTTAAACGCGTTCTGATTGGTCGCATTACAGCAACTTCAACCTTGATTATCTCGAAATTTTGATATATGAAATAAAAAATGAAAATACACGTATTCATTAGAATTTGACAAGGAATGCAACGGTGTTACTACAGTGCGTTTCATAACGAACACCCTGTATATATATATATGTATATATTGTTACTCAGCGCTACTGTACTAGCCAAAGATGATTTTGCCATAGGAATTCATAGGAGTTAAAAAATAAAAACGCCAACCTCAGCTGGCACTAGCTCTGAGTAACATTGTGTATATATATATATATATATAATCTGAGCAAACAAAGTATTGCACAAGTAATAAGCAATATGCGTATCAGTCGACATGGTAACGTATCAGTCGATGATCTTAAGCTATTGAAAATAAGTATTAGTATTAAGTAAAGAGTATTAAAAAAAAACCTAACAATCACTGAGCGTTAAATTTTTTCAAAAAAAATATCGATATCGAACCCCGATAACAATCGATTACAGATCTAATACGCGGTTTCGTTATATTTTTAGGATAATTTCAAAATATGAGTATCGAATAAAAAACTAAAAAATAAAAAATAAAAATATTGCGAATATCGAATGCTAACCCTTTCGCGAGTTTCTCCACGTCTGTCGGACATCTGCGTTTCTCGGCCGTTTTCCGCCGAGTGTCCGGCAGATGTACTTTACTGGGTGCGCGTATATACATATATACCCATAGGCACGTAAATTGCACGTATTATCCAGGAAAATGTAGATGGCGACACTGGCGACTATACATTGCTATATATATATACACACAGGGCAGTTACACTTTCTTCGTGCGTAACGAAAGGAGTGGCGCACATGTCGATAAGACCCTGTTCAACCAATGGTGCAAGGGTAGACGTAGAAGACACGAAGGTACGTAAGAAAAACTTTCTTACGAACCGCCGCAGACATTTTACATTGACAAGAAGTGACTGAAGAAAATATCACACGCCGAGTAAGGCCGATGACGTCACTGAAGCTTTTTTTTCCCCCTCTCTCCCATCCCAACGACGTACGACAGACTCGGGACATATTTGAGACCTCGTGAGACTGGGAGATATACGTTACACAACTGGAGATAGTTTTTTTGGAAAAAAAAAAATGTGAAAAAAAATTTTCTGGGGATTCAAAAAATTTTTCCAAGTTTAATACTTTTTTTGTCTCTCTGATATGGGTCTAGGGAATTTTCCATACGTTATGGGATACGGGTCTTGAAATACTAGGGGAAAAATGATACGTATAAATTTATCCGTGTATATCACGTGGGCGATAAATCGTTCGATTGGACAAAGGGAACTTGCCGTGAGAAAGCAGAAAGTCCGTGCGAATGTAGAAATTTGAATTCGAAGTGAAAAATGTATGTAAATAATGGTATGTACAGAAAAAATGATAATAATGAAACGATGAAAGTTATCGTGACCCTGATAGCAGTCCTTTGCCATTTGCCATTGGAGATGACTTAAGTAATTTTGAAATATCAAGTAAGCGACTTGAAATTGATTCGGAATATACGAGGATTAAATTTCATTGGATTAATTTTATATATGCATGCAAGTACCTATGGATGATTGGATAGGCAATTATGTATAGTGTATATATATAGGTATAGGTATTAAAAATCCACTTTTTCGACTCACGTTCAATTAGGGGTGTCGTGGTATTTCCCATAGCATACGGGCAGATGGGGGTTCTCGAACTAAGAGGAACCCCATGGGGGTGTGTTTTCAACCCTGTAGAGATTCTCATGCCGCTAAATATAACGGTTAATGGGGCACGTTTTCTCGTTATGGTGGCGCATGGTCGAAAGAGGGACTCTAGAAAATATGCGGGTGGCTTATGGGATGAAACGATAAGAAATGTGAAATTTGGTAAAAAAAATAATTTGACTGCCCGATGAATATATCCCGAGTTAACAGGATATTGTTGGCTGTGGATACAGAGTGGCTATTCACTTTTGTAGCGTAACAAAGCAATTGTTCTCGTTGTTATTGTTGTACGATTTAATAATCATAAGCAGCGCCGCTATGCCGATGCTTGATTCGACACGGTGTCATGACCCAAAGACCTCGAAACCTTCTGGTCTTGCGAAATTCCATGATCGTCCAGGCGATAGTACCCACGTGCACACGTAGGTATGGACACGGTATAATGAAAATAGTGTACTCTTAGTAAAGTCGACGTAACCGATGATAATAATGACAATTGCTATTTAGGAGCTGCCGTCTCTTGCCGGAGCATGAATAGAGGCTAGATTTCATTCATACGACGAAGCGCGTTCATTCTCGGCCGTGGCGAGAGCACCGAGCAGGAGCGTCTGTTGGCCTTTTCTCGCGTGTCCTTTAAAAAGCATTATGGTTTTACAATGAGCGCCAGCGTTGTGAATAAGGCAAGTAATGATTCATCGGAGTAGTCATAGTTAGGAGAAAGAATCCCGTGCGGAATGAGTTTCGGTCGAAATCGGCGAAAAGTCTTCGTAAGCGCTGGCGATTCACGGAGAAGTTGGATTGTTATGGATAGGAGAAGGAAGAAGAAGAAAAAAAAGAGCGAAGGCAGCAGCAGCAGCATCGACGGAGATATGAGGAAATAATGGTGAGGTAGAGAGGGTAAAAATTTGTAGTTATACTGCGCGGGGAAGGTTCGAGTCTCGGATGTTTAAGTAGTGGGAGGTCAGGGGAAGGCGGTGGGGCAAGTCCGGACCAATGAGAGAGCGCGTTGGTTATGTTCGAAAATTGCGCGGGTCCTCTGAAAATTCGCGGGGGTCACGCACGTGGGGTCGCGCTAGAGGGTAGAAGATGAATTTTTGCCATTGGCTGTTTCGTGGGATCGCGAGAGGGTTGTCAAGGCTCATCTGGTGGGGATTACTGTTTGTATTCGTAGTGGGGTACACGGTGCGCTCCGATTGGCTCGGACTGGTACGCCGCCTTTCGCGGGACTAGCCTCTCTCGGCTTCTTCCAGCAGACAGTCAGTTAGCTTTCGGGCGCTTTGCGAGCTAGATTTCCAAGAGCTACGCTTACACAGAGCCGTGAGTTATAAGACCAAAAAAGTGCCAAGTTTTTTAAGTAGTCATTTTAAAACAAACGCGCGCGTTTACCGACTCCGCACGAGGAACTTATACAGAATTGCATATCCGTCGCCAAAGGGGTATATCGATATTAGCGCGTCGGAAGGATCCTCGAATCTGCAAAACGTGCCTCTAAAGTTATTCCCTCGGACTGCGAAATTTTTACGAATTTAAATCTCCGAGATATCCACTTTACTTTTAAACACGACACAGAGTCCGAACGAGAGCCATTTTATTTTCGTTTATTATCGCCTTTGCGGCTTCTCGATAAGAATAATTTCTCGACGCGACTGTGCCTAAATGTAACTACGAGAAAACTTCGAAGTGGCAGTTTTTGTGTTCTCAGTTCATCACGGTTTTCATTGTTCTCTTTCTTCAAAGAGACTACGACATTATTACTCTGTTCCGTATATATTCTGGAAAGCGCCACGCCTCGTACCTATTCCAGGAACGAACGGAGCAGATCGCGCATCCTTAAGCAAGAAGCTCGACCGAAAGTTTACAAAACTGAAGAATCATGTCGGCCGCTGTCATGAGCAACCCCATGTTTGACTGTAGCGATCATCTCTTCAAGGTAAGAAATGAATTTTGAATAAACGATTAACATACACACACACACCCACTCCTTGGCTGCTACAGGCGTGCGTGTTCAGGCCTGTTTCGCCATTCTAGCTCCTATAGTAATGTCGAGACATGAAAATGTTAACAAAGAAAAATAAAAGTGCGCGATGAGACGGAGACGTCGCGACGGTGAACGAGCAGCGGCAACACCGTAAATAAAACAACTAAGAAGGAACGACTCTCACCTTAGAGGAACTTGTACAGCCGAACACTCTCTTTGGTTTCACCTCCAGAGTTTCACCTCCGCGCTTTGGTGTACGCTAGGAGGACGCACAAGCCTCGAAATTATACACATACGAAAAACACGGAAGATTCGAGGAGCAATATCCAAAATAGTCATAAATTACACGGAGCCTGACACATGGTCGCTAGTAGAAAAAAGAAAAGTATCTGAGAAGACTGTAGGGAAAAGAACTTTAAGCCTGTTGCATGCTATTGCAGTGAAATTGGAGCCGCGAACATTTGAAATCTTTACCGTTACACTGTGATTTTTTTGTTTTTCGTATAAATTCGGAGTGACTCATTAGTGTCGTCTAGGTTATTTCGTATACCCAGGGTGAACTTTTTTGCTGGTTAGTCAAGTAAAAAAAAACCGTAGAATTCTTTAAACCGAAGTTCACAGCAACACCGGTAAGCAGAAGCTTGTTTCTTGTCTAGTGGGCCTCCTGGAAGAGATTGGTAGGGGAAAAAAAGGGAAATAAATAAAGATACCAAACACGCGACAAAAAATACTCTTCTCTCGGGAATGGTACGACCCACGTAGTCTTACCGGCATTAATATAGACTTCTATCCGCAAGAGTCTACCGGGCGCACTGTGTATCGAGCTTTACACCAAAGACCAAGTAAAACCGGCAATACTTACTCGTTCCAGAATAACCGACCTACGCTAAGAGTCGTCGCCACGTTTCTGACGGGTTATTTTTGTGGAAGAAAGAAAACTCATAGCCAGTATTATGCTTGAGGATAAAAATTGAAAAGGAAACGAGTTCCTCGTAATTTCCAGTAAAACGTTAAATTCTCACGAATTCGAAGGGAAGGACCTGTAATTGATGGCGGGAATTTTCAAAATTACAAACATACAAATATATATATACACAGGACACTCCACTAGCTTAGTACACTTTACGTTCTACAATTTCCGGCATTTTCATCGTAAACTCTTCTGCACTTGTCATTTTCTCGCTCATGTTACATTAATCATCGGGCAACGTGACTTTTTGGACTTTAAGAATGATCACAGCCTGGGCTATTTTTAATCGGGGAGTATATTCGGCAGTAAACGTAATTGCTTCGTCATGCTCCTTTACAACGTGATTCCATTTTTATTATGGCGCGTAGCAATGGCCGTATTAAATATGGAAAAGTACCATGGTCAATTTGTCGTTTAACGTTTGCCGGTATAATTTCTCTCTTGGATAGTTATACTTTCGTACGTAATTTCTCCCAGAGCCTCTGACACATTCCTTTCTTCAAGTTACCCCTCGGAGCGTGGACTCGACAATTAGACTGTTGGTCAATGCTCGTGAACTTTCGATCGGGTTCGTTTATCGAAATACAATGAATAATAAATAGGCGTGAAAATTCCGCGAACCAAATTCGTCATCGTCGCTTACGATGAATAATCGTCGTTTAACGAGAATCCATCATATTTTCTCTTTCTCTCTTTGTCTCTATACACCCATATATATTTCTCTTTCTCATTCCGGCAGGAAATGTCGCGCGATTTTGACAAGTGAAAACCGTTCGTAAAAGATCGCCGGAAATTTTCACACTCGACGCTCCGCTCCGCTACCGAATTTCTCTTTTACTCTTCTGTCGCACTTTCCCGCCTCGTATTACTTTCCCAGGAAGTTTGGCTTCTCTCGATCGATGCGCGATCCTTTCCTCTTATCGATTTGACGTCGAGTGACTTTCGATACTCTGGACAATTTTCACAGCGACTGTCACCAACTCATATTGGAATTCAATCTTGTTGACTTTCGACTTTTATATATATATATATTTTTTTTTTTTCCTTCACTTCTCAAACCAACGTTTACGTTCCTACCGGGCACCCAGTGTACGGTGTACAGCTTATTGTATACAAAAGTACACTCGTACGACATGCCGCTTGTTTATTCACTTGAGCCCAGCTCGATTCGATTGTTACGCAGTACGACGGCATTGTCGCGCTTCGAGATTCGATTTCTAACGCGCGATTAACGTACACGCATGTACAAATGCCGAGTGCGTAACGTGCGTAATGTTATATGAGCATGATGCATATATATATATATAAAAGTAGTGAGTTACATATATAAACCAAAGAATTGGCAACGTTGTTAATAGCACGTAGATCATAACCAGCAGATATACCAATTAATTCGTGGTGGTTGAACATTTCGAAGTTGCAACAATGTATCGATATCGTAAATAAATTGTAAGGGAGACTCTAAGAACGCTGTGACGTATAATTTTTACTAATTCCCATATTTTCTTTGTATCACAAAATCTGAAAAGGACAAAAATTTACAGTTGATCGTTTCTTTTTTTTTTTTATTACCAATAATTTGTTACCTGGATTTATACGCGACCCCCTGTCCTGTACGTTCCGAGAGGCTAATAAGACGGTAGTAGCGGCCATTGTTAATTCCAAGTATTTACCCGTTATCTGGTATTTCTGTAATTGCTCTAGGGGAGTATCGTAATTAATTGTCGAACGATAGTAATCCGGGAATCCATAGTATTATCGTCCTTAGCGATCGTAGGTAGGCTCTGTCTTCCATACGGATCCTGTAATTGTGACACCCTTTAGGGGAGGCTCATAAAATTCCTTACAATTGCTCGGCGACCAATTACTGCTTTTACGGCAAGGACCGTCGATTTCATCCCCTAAAGCAAACTACCCCAATGTCATAGGTACGTTCCCTGGTTTTACGCGTGCCGTAAAAGAACTCCGGGAACCTGTTGCTCCGTGTTTACCCGGTCTTTATGCGACACCCTATATATATGTATATAATGGGAACGGCAGGCGTAATATATATATATACACGTACGCAAACTATACCGCTACTGTACTGTACACGGGGCGGGTTTCACGCACGATGTTCTTTGTAGGGTTGAAGCTGGTCTCTTTGGTTGAAAAATTTTCCCATATTCCTGAAAAGAAACCTGACACAAAAGGGGGAAGGTTTCCGTGCACCTTGCTTGCTTTGGTCCGCTCCTGCACTGCGAGTCGCTCGAAGCTGCCCGTTGCCACAACGAGCGGGATACACTCTCTTGGGTTTTTTGAAGTAAAGCCTGACTCACACCCGTTAAAATATTCTTTTTTTTCGCTCTCGCTCCGAGCGTACTTGGGAAAAAATTTTTTTATTTTTATACCATTCTCAGCTTGATACGCGAATATACGTCACCTTGAGGAGTTGGCTGTGGCCACGAATCACGGGGAAAAATTGATGACTTCATCGCGGTGCTTCGAATCCGAAATTTTTTGGTCGCGCGCCAAGGCGACGTTATGCACGAAAATAATCACTGGTCGGCGCTTTTGTCTCTTTTGCGCTTTGTAATTTTCAATTTGTTTACTTTAACGAGAATCAATGTTTCCTTGCGTTTATCAGCCTTTCGTTTAGACTTCTGTCCCTTTCTTGCTTACTTATCGATGCACGATGTTTTTCATGTTTCTCGTTATACTTTTGCCCTGCGTGATACCGGCTTCGCAGTGCGTTTTACGAACTTCCCGTTGTGGAATCGCCTTTGTGCGACAGCAAAGTCGCCGATATACGTGTACTGTATGCTTCGAGCATTGTGCCTGAATTCATGGGCTGCGTCGCACTTGGTGTACGCGGCATTAATCCCTATGTATATACATCGCCCCGGTAAGTAAAGACCGATTTACAACGGGACAAAAAAGTCCTTCATCGTTGTTGGAGTTTTGACTCCTTTTTTTTTTTTTCAATGATTATCAGGAAGTACTTTAAAGTTCACAGAGCGCCAAGGCCTCACTGTTTATACCTATATCCCAATGCGGATAAGTGTCGTAATCATTGAAAACTGATCGCGGCGCAACTGAGCGGCTGATTGAAAATTGGATAATTAGTCGGTGCGATAGCATCTACGTTGCGTAAGAATCAGCGCGAGAGGCTTTGTAGTATATACCCTTACACTCACGGAGCACTTCGTGACTGCGTTCACTTTTCATTTTCAGTACTTGCCTCTGTATATCTATATATACGTGCCGGCTGTTGGGATGCATGCAAATCGTCAGCGGGGAAGCCATTTTTATTTTCATTCCGGCGCCTCGCTCGAATTCGCTGTCTATTTTCGCAATAGCTCAACGTTCGGGCAGCGCCGGTAAACTTTGCGAATACGATGTATTCGGCCTTAAAGCGACGGACTCGCGTTCGGATTCGCGTCCCTGCGTGATTTATGGGCGAAAGGAGGAAATTAAATATCGAAGGACCAACATTTTGTCGTCCAATGATTTCCTCAACGTGATTCATCAATGGGCATGATCGTTCGCTTTAATCAACCGCAATCGGGCAAATTGTCGGTCACGCGCGATATAATTTTTTTTTTCTTTTCTTTTGTCATGCGGTTTCTCGGATTCGAGAGATTGGCATTGAACGCGAGGATAACGGTCGAGTGAAAAATTCGTGGAAAATTTTGCAAAAAAAAAAGTGCGTGACTCTTTCGACGGAAATGATTCTTGGAAGATACGTCTTGCATATATATATATATATATATATATATATATATATAGAATTTACATAAACGTTCGATAAGTCACCTAGAGTGAAATATTTGTATTATGGGAAGGCGGATTTTTATATTTTTTTTTTCAGTGAACTTTTTTCAAAAATCAATAAGCACGATCTTATCCGTCTGAAACGACCTGTACAATGCTATATCTGTATGCATTCGCTCCACCGTTCTCCATAGATCGTATGCGCGTACCTACGCAAATTACCCCTACG